AAGGCTATAATTAATTTCTGAATAAATAAAAAAATTAACAGCCAGCTAGCCCATTCCCTGATAAGAGTATAGTATGGTACTGTCATAGAAAGTGATCCTAAAGCACATCTATGATTAGTTTAGTGGTATACTCATTAATGCTTCTGGCACTGTAAAAGTTCTTTTTGCTCTTTTAGAATTGTGGAATAAGCAGCACGGAAATAAGCATTCACACATAGAACTACAAAAATAAATAAATATAATATTTCCCATCTCCCTAAACTCTCTCTTTTGTTTTTCCACTGTTTTTACCACCTAACATTGTGAGGCTGTCCTTTTAAATCAAAAATGCATTTTGGGATGTGAATTCATACAAAATGGAAAATGAAAGCAATGGAAGTTTCAGAACTAAAAACATTTTTTTCTTGGGCTGTAAACCCTTTGACTTGTTTATAATTTCAAAATATATGGTAGTTGGAATTAAATCTTTTGTCAGATAATTTATTAATACAGAACTAAGAATCAGTAAATAAAGGATTTTCTTGCAAGTTCTTCTTTCTCACCTACTTGACTGGTTGGGTCTTCTAATGGTTCCACTTGGTGTCTAATACACCTACCTGTGGCCCTTGAAAACTGATTGAGGAGATATGAATGCTTTGCCACTTTCTTTAATTTTTGATTGTTTTGGCAACATTCCTTCAATCAAAGGTTTAAATTTTGTCATCCATAGGTGATATTTGGAATTTATAAAGGATGATCAAGTTTTATAAAGCCTAGTAGCAATACTGCCTTTCAGTATGTACTACTTGCCGTAACAACTCACAGTATCTCATCCATTCTGGAATCTGATAGTGTATTCAAATAACTGTCATCACTTTTGACACATGCTTGAAAATATACATAGCAAACTGTTTATGCTAAGTTAGATTTAAACATTTCAAACTGTGCAAAGCCATCAACATCAACCCAGAATTGAACCTGACTGGGATACTTCTGGTGAACAGTCTTTCTTAATACGTCTAATTGAATGTACTAATACCACTAAAAGATTTGGAGAAGGCTGTTCAGTGCCAAGATAACATTTTTAATGAATAATGGGAGAAGAATAAAAACCTATGTCACAATTTTACAATAGTTTGGCAGCTGATGTCAAATATCAGAAATCCATCTTCAAATCTCTGCTTTTCTCAAATTGCTAAAATGACCCTAAACACTGCATGTCTAGACTACCTAGAATAATTTTCTTTTATTTACTTTTTAGAAATAACTTAATATTTCAAATAAAATAACTTCATCTGGGGTGCAGGTGAATGACAGAAACCTTAGCTATCAGTTAGCTTCATCCTCCTTCACTTGTGTTAATGATGTTTTTTTCATGTATGTAGCATGTTGTTTATCTCAAAGAAAACAAAAAATGGTAAGTACACTTGTGATATTTGTAAATAATACAACGGAAAATTTACAAACCAGAGCTTATTTTTGTTTTGAAGCAAAGGTCGAATGCCAACCTCCTGAAGGGTAGTATAACTTATAGTTTCTGAGTAAGACAAGGCCTGAAGATGGATCAAAGGTAAAAGTTTTAGCTGTGCTTGATCACGTGATGTAATGACTAGAAGAAAACTACACCTTCAGGGATTATTTCTTCACATTGTCTAAAGATGTGAGTGTCTGAGTATTTGTTGTTGAGAAACAGTAGTTTTGAGATGATTTTGAATATCTGGGAAATTTACATGTGTGGAAATAAGTAGTTGTTTCATAGTGTGGTGTTTTGTTTTGTTTTTTTTTTTTTTCAACTATACAAAACTGAAAAGTTTCCCTGAGACAGATGGAAGTTGCAGGCTTCTTTTTCTAGTGCTTTGGATGTGTAACTTGGGTAGGAAAGCTTGGGGTTCATGTCAGAGCTCCAAGACAGGGAAACATCAGGAGTCAGAATCTACTGCTACCAACTTCCATTTTTTCCAGGATGCCTTGTTTACTTATTTTTATGATTTAAAGTTCAAAAAGCCTTGGGTTTGCCTTGATGCAAAAATGGGGATTTTTGAATTTGTGGCTGCTTATATAAAACTGAGGCAGTTAAAGTTTTACTTCCAAATAGTCAATCAGTTATGAAATTCCAGTTACCCAATCAGATATTTAAATACCCCCTATGCCTCTAAAAGAACTAAGATTTCTACTTTTTAGTATATTGTAGTCCCATCTCTGATACTGTCTGTCAGTATTTTTTTCAAGGGGCAGTTAACACCATGAAGTTAAATTTCATATATTCAGATTGTGTACCCCTAACAAAAGTTGCCCTTATGTTTGCTTTGAATGTGCCTTTAATTTCAGTGCCAGGAGAACAAATGATACTAACTTTAAAAAATGAACCTCTGCATTTATCGTCTCTCTGTAGTAAGTGAGTCTCTATTTAGGCAGGGTTCCAAAGGTACTTCTCCTGGGTGGACTGCCTGAATGCTGTTATGGAATACCATGGCGTTGAAATTTTGTACCCACATGTCCCACGAGGGTCTCTCTCCCTCTGTTGAAATTAAGCCTAAAATAATTTCCATTTGTTTCTGCTGCTATAAAAATCCTCACCTCCCCCTATCTTTTAATAAAAATGACTTCCAAGAGGATCAAAGTGTGATTTTTCTGCTCAATTGATTTTTTGGATGAGGGGAGGGAAAGCTAGTACAAGGTACTCGTTAATATGTCCATTATGGAGACATCTGATTAAACTAGAATGACTTTTTTTTTTTTTTTTTGTCCCCTGGTTTACATTTTGCTTTATTGCTTAGTTAAAAAAAAAAAAAAAAATCCCATTTAAATAATTATAGAAAATAATTTCTTAAAAAACACAACTCAGTCTCACAGTCTGCAGCAAAACATGTATGACCTTATGGAAGCACTGGGAGATGCTTGCTGTCACATGAAACAGTAACATGATCACCAGTGCTACACCTACAAAATCCCCAACCAGAAAAAAATTCTGCTCAAAAAGATGAAAATTATAGTAAACCACGTCCAGATCATTCTTCCAAGCAAATACATATTGTCTGCAGGAGGACCTTATAAGCACACATCAGCTAACAACCCAATCTGATTTTTTTTCCCAGGAGTGGGAAATGTGGAGAGAAGAGAAATTTGCTGCACTGCCACCTCTTCAGTTTTCCTATTCTGTTCCCAGAGTGTATAGGGGAGAGAGGACAGGGTAACATGGAGGTATATGCAGAGACTCTGATTATTTTAAGCCAGTGAATTTCTTGCCTTTTTGTAGGTTAAGAAATTATTTAATAAACAGTAACAGCATGACTGTTTTTTCATGTCTTTATTCTTTCTAAAATATTCAAGTGGAGGAAGAGGAGGAAGGAACAGAAGACAGTTACTTTGTTCTGACTATTTCCTCAAGATCTTAAAATCAGAAAAGGATCATCTGATATTTGGAGGCAAGATGTGTTTCAGAAAAAAAAAAAAAAAAAACAAAAAAAAAACCCAAACAACATAAAAATTGAATACACAGATTACATATATCTTTTGACACTCAAGAAGACAAAACACTCTTTCGTGTTCTGTGCAGAAAACAAGGGCAAGTTAAAATTCTGTATGTCAGTCATAGTAAAAGAATTTTTATTTCTTTTGGAGTGATTACTTCAGCTATTATATTTCTTTTTGAGTGATTACTTCAGCTAACTCCTTTTTTGGAGGATAAATGCCAACACGGATTACCACAATTCTATCTCCATATAGATCTAGAACTGTGATTTCTTAGTTGTCACCTGTCTCAATAAGAATGTACCTGCCTGCTTTGCAACCCTGTAAGAGCTGAAAAAAAGGTTTATTATCTCACATTATAAGAATTCATTAGCAATAAGCCATTTCTGAACCCAGAAGACCTTTAAGACTGTGTTTTGGTTTGAGCCCAGAGGGCAACTGAGCACCACAGTCGTTCACTCACCCCTATTCCCCCAGCACTGGGAAGGAGAAAATTAAACAAAAGGCTCACGAATCGAGATAAGGAGGGTTGAGTCATGCATTATGGTCACAGGCAAAAGACAGACTCATTAGGGGAAGGAAAAGAACATCACTTTAATTCGAACAGTAAAAGAAATAACACTTAGCAGGCAAGGTGGGACAGTGAGAAGCACTACCACATCCAAAAAACACCTTCCCCCACCCCTCCCTTCTTCCCAGGCTCAGCTCAGGGGACAGGGGATAGGGGTTACAGTCGGCTCAACACTCCTTCTCACTCAGGAGGTGAGGGGAACCCTGCACATTCTTCCCCTGCTCCGTGTGGCTGCCCTCTCACTGCAGACAGCCCTCCATAAACCTTCTCCACAGTGAGTCCTCCCCACAAGATGCAGCCGTTCCTGAGCTGCCCCAGCATGGGTCACCCCCATGTGTTGCAGTCCTCCCAGCACTGAATTACAACAGTGGGGCCTTCTTTAAGTGCAGCCACCTGCTCTGTTGTGGGCTCCTCCATAGGCTTCAGGTCGGCCTCTGCTCCGCCATGGACCTCCATGGGTGGCAGCGGGGGGTGACCCTGCTGTCTCACCATAGGGTACAGCGGCATCTCTGCTCTGATGCACCTCCCTCCCTTCCTCCTCCTTCCTTCCACTGACCTCAATGTTTGCATTGGCGTCCTTCTCCTAACTCCTCCTCACAAGTCCCAACCCCCTCCCAAGTTCCCTTTCTTAAATACGTTATCGCAGAGGCGCAGCCACCATCGCTGATTGGCTTGGCCTTGGTGCAGAGGTGGATCTGACTTGGAGCCAGGGGAGCTTCGAGAAGCTTCTCACAGGGGCCACTGCTGTATCCCCCTCCCCTGCTACCAAAAATCCTGCCACACCGACCCAGCACAGACTGACTCCTCTAATGTAACAACTCAATTGAATGCAGAAGCTGGGAAAAAAGCTGAACTTTTATTAAAGATAATCACAATAAATAAGATTTTTGATTCTTTGATTTCCAAATAAAATTTATGCCTTATTTTAAGTAAAAAGTTTTAGATTAAAAGAAATATTTTCTTTACATTTTAATTTTAGGTGTCTCCATTTACCAATGAGGAAAAGGTGAAAAATAGAGATTTCATCACTCCTTTTCTCCTGGGAAGTTAAATAAAAAAGAAGGACCAGCAGCTTGAAATTTAAACAGGGGTAAGAGAAATTTAAAATAATAATAATAATAATAATAATAATAATAATAATAATAATAATAATAATAATAATAATAATAATGATAATAATGATAATAATAACAAAATAAATATTTGCTATTTTTTTCAATTAAATTTTAAGATCTTTGTATCATTGTTTTAAACCTTGTCATAAAAGAGATGGGTCACTAGTTTTAGCGTGATCCTTCTCCATTCTGAAGTACTTCTAACTCTGCATATACTGCATGTGTATGATTTGAGCATGTGGTAACACTGTGCTTTTTCAATAACATGAAGGTATACCTGAAGACTGGAGGCTGACTGAATTAGTCCAGTCATTCCCTGAAAATCAGGATTTGAGGATGGTCTCATTCTTTCTTCATGCTTACTCAAGTCTGGAACACCATAAGTCTTGAGCTGATTTTTAAATTACCATGGTGAGGTTTCTCACAGTAACTTTAGGATGCTGCAGCTTCAGAATATCTGCCCAATCCTAGTGCCCCACAAAAACCTTAGTCTTCATCTGGTGCAAATGCCACTTACTTAATAGTTCCATATGTACCTGAAATTATTGTCCAGGTAAAGATAGCTATTGAATCTGTTTTCAAAAAAAGATAAAATGAGGTATGCTTAAAAAGACTGACATACTTTGATTATTTTTAAAATATTTTCTCCCGTTAGTTCAGTGCAATGATTTATATCCTAAGAGTCTGTCTGGATTCTATACTGCTGCTGCATGATCAAATTGGTATGAGAGGAAATAGCTGATGGTCTTCTGTGACTGGATAGAAGGCAATTTCCAGACTGTTCAGATAACCCATTCAGCTAACTTGGGCACAGTGATCTTCACTTTCTGGCTTCCAGTTGGATTGTTACATTTTCAGCTATTTCAGTAGAAAAATGCAAAAGTCTAGTTTGTGCAGAGAGCAACAACTATTCAAAGCAGTCTATTGGTATAGGAAATTTAAACCATCATATGTATGACTGTTTTCAAAATGAAAGAAAAAGTTTATTTCTGATTTATTTTTTACAGTCCCCTAGAAAGTAAATAAAATTAAGAATAAGGAAGTAAGAAACATGTACGAGTGAATTCATTTAGAAAAAGAGTTGAGAAAAAGAATTATTGGGTAGATACGGAAAGAAGGAAGAGGAGAGAAGGTTAAATCAACTGAGAGAAAGTAGAGGGAAGGATATATCATCATCCCAGTGTGATTTTGGCTATTTACTCATTAGGAGGCACTCATATACTAAAAAAGCTCACTAGACAGATAAACAGCAATGTGCGAATATACACTGCAGCATAAATTTAAGAGGAAAAAAGACATTACTGAAACCTGAATTTCTTTATTGAATAATTTACTTTGTCATCATAAATGTGATGCTATATTGCCTTGCAGTGTAACTACTGGAGAGACGTGTTGGTTAAGCCCAGTCCCAATAGGGATGGCTGAAGAATGATCAAAAGCTTGGATTAAATTTATCTTTTTTTTTTTTTTTTTTTACTTAGGTTGTTTTTATCATTTTGTTTTGGTTCCTGGAATTTCTTATTAATTTTACAAAGACTGTCATAGACTGTTTTTTTGGACTTTCTTCCTGTTAATTTATTTTAATGGATGAATAAAACTTCTCCACAGAAATTATGATAGTAGGAAAAATTTGTAAAACCATAAGCAGCAGACTGAAAATACCCATTGCTCTAATGGGTCTGTGATAAATTCTGACATTTGTGGGTCTTCTAATACAGAAGTCACCTGATGTTCTTACCCTGTATTGAGAATGTTTCATATAGGTAATTCTTGACTACTGGGGCCCTGTTTGATGGTGTCAAACTCCTGTGCATTTATTAACTGAGGCATAGAAAATACACTGGAGAAAAAGCATCTGGGGAAAAATCGGATTCCTTCTCTGAGTTTGGTGAACTTCCATATCTCAGTGTTTTACATGACCAATTCTTCCTGCTTGCTGCGTCGTTAATCAGTACAAAAAAACTTGGAAATTGTGTTCACTAATTTTCCTGAATGGTAAGACTTTAATGTTGACTGTACTCTACTTGGGCCAGTTTAAGAAAAATGAATGAGGCCATACTCAGTTTCCACACTCCAGAGAATACATCTAAGAACGCGAGACTGTTCTTGGTAACTAATCTGTATTTCAGCAAAATGAGATGACTTTTAGTAATATGGTGATGGCACATGCATCAGGATGCAAAGATTTGATCTCAAAATATAAAGTTAAAAAAGCTGTAGCTCTGGTCCAAAGTTTTCCCACAATTAGCCTGGCATAAATTGATCATAATTGAGGTCAGACTAAAGCACATAATATGAACCAGTTCTGGACTATTTATTCTCAAATTGGCAGAAATTAAGATAGCTGGCTCACAGAAGAACTGGGATTTAAGCCTAAATGTATTTCCTCACCCTAATCTGCATGCCAGTCCCTTTGCTAACATGGATAATTGACTAACTCCACATGATTTCTCTTTTGTATGCCAATATTAATATGTTAATTTATAGTCAAATACTAGTATATACCCATAAAAGAACAAAAATATTATCTCTGAGTTTCAGAAAGGACAACAATTTTTACTTCAGGTAGAAATGATAGTCCACTAAATCTCACCACAACTCAAGTGCAAAGCATCCCACAACAGATTGACTGTACAGGTGATCTGCAGAAACTGTTGAAGACTTTCAAATTTTTTTGTGTGAGGGGAGGATCACATCATGATTACTCTTCCAGTAATACCAATTATTGGGTTTTTTTGTGTTGGATTAATTTCCAGACATCTAACATTTCATCATATATGAAAGTGGACTCTGATCAAACACCTCGAATCTCTGAGCTGTTGGGATGAAACCTGCAAGCAGGGATATCCTATTTGAAGTGACAGAGAAGATTTTATTTTATTCTCAGTTAACCAGAGTACATTTCTTGATTGCAAACAAAGCACTGTACTAAATATGAGTGGAGTCATTTTTCAAAACCTTTTCCCCAAACTTGTATTCATTTGTTTCCCTCAGCTGAAATCATATTAGATACAATAATATTGCACAGTTATGCGTAAAATATGTTTTAATTTTCCCAAATGAAAGAAAAATTTATGAGAATTGCTTTTGATAAATGCAGCGTATTTATATATTGTAAAATAAAATATGCTTCTTTGTATGGGATCATATAACAGCATATATTAAAAAGTGTATTTCTTGAGAACAGAGGAAAAAACACTGAACATCTGCATATTTTAATAAAGAGATAGAGGTGTTCCAATTTTCTTTCAGCATCTGAGGGAGCTACCTTCATGAAAATCATTCTTCTGTAAGGATTTTTTAAAAAATATCTTTTTATCTCTTGCATGCATGAACAAGAGGTTTTAAATATGTAATGCAGCTTTAAGGTGGGGAATCATATAAGAAGTGTGTTTGTAATTGAGTACTGTAGGACAGTGCAATAACCATTACAGATAAAATTTCGAAAGTGCTTTCATTCTAATCTTAAATTTTCAACCCTAACTTTCTAAGGTCTTTAAAGGGATGTTTTTAGATGCAGTCTCCCTTGTTGTTTACTTTCTGTTTAGCGCACTGTTTTAATTTTGCTATTATGTATGTTTGATTTTACTAGTTTTTAGTTAGGACAGTTAAAGGGAAAAATCACTCTCTTTAGAGATAGAAAATAATCATGTAGCATTGTTTTTCTAAGCATGAAAAACTGCTAGTGACAGAAATTGAAATGCATTATGTTATTGCAAAGAGAAGCACCTTGGAGTGTTCTGATGAGAACTGATGTTGATTTGACAGAGTTCTCAGCTATTCAGAGCTGCTTTCTCCATCTGAACAGCGTGGTTTTTTACAAAAGTGTTCAGCTTTGTTCATATTTTCTTTGCAATGGAAATTTAATTGCTGCTATTTCAGTTGGGATAACACTGTGTTAGCACTGAGCATTTTGGAAAGACTTCACTGTGAGAGTAGGTTATAGAGACGCATGCTACACGGGTGTCTGGAGTTATCAGCAGGCAGTGCCTTTTGTCTACTAATGATGTGCTTTTCCTATGTGTCCATGCCAGGATTTGTTGAATCAGTGAAACAAATATTCAGAGAAGTGGATTTCTCCTCCAAGAACCAGGTGAACCCTTTCAAGGTTGACTTATCATAGGTAAGATCGCTTGAGTGAGTAAACTGAATGTGTTATATGTCAAATCTATTCTTAAAGAATGTTATAGAGTAAAAATAAGCAGGCCAGGATCATTGCAATAGAAGTTGTAATTAAGACCAACCTTCTTGTATAATTAGACTGTGCAACTGTGTGAGAAAATCTATTATAGAGAGAAGATAGAACTTAACTGTATGACAAAAAACATAAGCATTTTACAAAAAGGTCCAAGAAGGAGTCTGCTCTTATTTTATTTTACTCTGGCTTACTAATGGCATACACTCACTAAATAACTGGTGAGCCTCCTAATGGTTCTCCCTTTCATGCTGCTGGAACCATAAAACCCTGCTAGAGATCTGAGTCCATCTTCAGTTAAACTTTACAAAACTAGTAAGCACATTTCGAGGATTTCTTGTCCACTCCCACGTAGTTTGATCTCTAGAGACTGAAAGGAATAGCAACTAAAAATCATGTTCTTTTTATTTGCTTGTGTAAAAGCAGATTTAAATAAAAACTGTCAGAACTGAGAACTGTTGTATGAAAATTTGGCAAGCATTTTTCTTGGAACATTTACTATATCCTGTTTCTGAAGAAAATCAAGCCTTTGTGCATATCTGTTGTGAACTTCAACAGATTATCAACAGAAGGACGTAATTTCAAAGCAATGATGTACTGACAATCATTTTCAAAAACAAAAAATTAGGCTTTTATTTCTATATACCTTTTTTTGTAGAGTCATGCACCATTTAAAATTGTGTTGCAGTTTTAAGTATGAACTACAATGGTATACCAAATATGTTATTTGTTTCTCTGCTCCATTTTCACTATAGCTGACCAGATGCTTCAAGTAATTATATGTCTGACACAGACAAGTAATAAATGGGTGATCCTATCTCCTTTTGACTCTAAAGGATTGTCAAGACATTAGTCGATACATCGAAGCTGAATTAAAAAAAAAAAAAAAAAAAGAAATCCTGTCCTGTGTAGTGTATGGACCAGGACATTTGGTATTAATCTGCCTTTTGCAAGATGAACCAATCACAACTTTTGGGAAGATGTCCACATTAAACAGAGATACTCTGTGGAAGCCACAGTGCACAGCTACAGCCAGCTTGGGTTCAAGCCCAAATGTTAAAGTGTTCTTTATCTAGCTAAAAGGGTGACTTTTTAATAAATTCTGGAACATTTTCCTGCAATAATCTCCACATGTACTTTTATAAATGTAAACATTAGCTGTTGCTATGCCCTGATTTTATTTTAACCTGAACTGTATTTACTATACCTAAGGATAATTCACATGGAGCAAAGAGCCCTAATATTTGTATTTTAGAATAAATATTATGAAAATCTCTCTCAGGGGAAGAAAATGTTTAGATAACCTGCCTTTCACACAGAAAAGCTGGCTGCTGAACCTTCAAGCCAACAGTTCTTCCCTGTCTTTCTAACTGAGAGACAGTACTACATATGAAAATTCAGTGCCTCGTGGCCATACTTAAGCAACCCTATTTCTTTGTGAAAGAGGGAGAACGTATGGAAGCTGTAAATAAATTATGATTGCCAAAGATCAGAGGAATTTTTACACAAGACCAAAGCAACTTAAGCTCATTCTTTGATACAAACCTTTAATAATTCAACACAGTGATAATTTTGGTATTGCTAGAATTCCTAACAATTGAACCGATCTCCAGGTTGTTAGCAGATGATTAAAAATTAAGTTTTTAGCAGCTGACCTCTGCAGAAGTCATACAATTCAATGTTTAATTTAAGCAATAGATATGACTTTCTTTCTAAGAAGCCCTGGAAAACTCCATGAAAACACCACAATACTCATTTAAGAACAACACACTGTTCAGCTCTTTAGTGAATATTTCTTGTTCAGATGGCAAAGACAATCACTCTGAGCTACTCTTATTCAAGTAATTGAGAAGCATGATTTAAAATATGATGCTTTAATGAAACAGCATGCTGGATATTAGAAAGAAGAATCAGCAAATCTTCTGCCTCCTTCTACTTCCTTTCCAACAGGAATATCTGGAATAAACACATACTCAGTGAGTTTAAGCTCATCTGCTTAAAAACATAAAAATTTCAATCCTATATTAATGAGGACTCACACTTAGAGTCCTACTTCAAACAAATATAGCTTATAAAACATGAACACTAATTTCTCCTTTGCAGGAAGACTACTTTTCTATACACCGATCTTCTAAGAGTCAGCCATTTGAGTTAGACCTATTAGAGAGGATCCTTATCCCTCTCATGCCTGGACCTCACACATTTGCAGGGCAGCACCCCAGCACCCAGCCTCCAGTAGCACCTGTGTCAGCACACAAAGCACTACTGACCCCTTCCCCATGAAGTAGGAGGGAACACGTAGAATTTAACAAAAACAGGATTGTGTCCTTCCTAATGGGGTACAGAGACCAGGGAACATCATTCATCTTACCCTCTCTCTTCCTGTTTTAGAGATTTAAATCCACAGCCCTTCCTCTGCGATGGGGCTCTCCCACCAGATAAGGTAAACCCCAACACCTTTCTTAGGCAATCAACCTGCCACATGTGTGTCCTTGTCTTTGGATCAGAGAATGGGTGTTTCACCCATTCTGAGAGGTCCTGCTATGTGGGGTGAGTAAACGATCTAATCAATGTAATAAAGCTTTCACATAGGAATATAACAGTACTCAGTTCAGAGTGTTATTAAGGCAAAATATTGAACCTGAAAAGTCAGTAAAACTATGATCAGTTCCTGGTAACAATCCAATCTTCCTTACTGTAGATAATGTTCTTTTACTGGGCTTTTTCCTCAGTTGATGTAAACGGAAGAGCTCCGTCGAAGCCAGTGGAGTACTTGATTCCTACCAGCTGAAGATCTGTCCCCACAGAATAGCATGCTTCCCTTCCAAAATACTTTCTTTTATTTTTAATTCTATTCACCTAATGCTAATAATAGTCTGCAACTTTTGAATAAGTAGTGTGTAGGCAAATTAACTTTTATAAACAAGCAAACGATTAAAATTAAAACTGCTTGGTTTAAAAAATGAAAAGAAAGAATTAAAGAAAGAGAGAGAGAGAGAGAGAAAGCCAGCATAAACAGTAGTGAGCTGGCAAACCAGTGAACTTCCAGATGTGCATTAGTTTTTTTTTCAGGCAGGGTCAGTTAGCATATTTCTGTTCTGGCATGTGCATTCATCTTCTGAACAGGGTGGAAATTCAACATAATGAGCACCTGATCATTCATTACTAATGATCCAGATATGCCCTGTTATTTAATTTGTTCTTCCATAATTTCATACACCTTATATTGCTTAACACTATACCAGTCAGTCTAATGGAGAAAGCTTGTCTTCATCCTTTTCACTCTCCCTGCTAGTAAATGGATTTAAAAAAGGAATGTAGTCTATTATTCAAAGATGGTTTCTAAGGTGGTTCACAACAGGTTAATGAATGATATCTAATACTCATATTAGACCAATCATATTAATAACAGAGAAGAGCACATGAGGGTCATAGTGCTAATTGCATAGGAGGTCCAGCCAGAAGGCATCTTTATCTTAGAATTCAAGACGCACCAAGTTTGACTAATCACCCACAGTGTGTTTGCAATTAAAATAACACTGTATTAACCCTGCCAATGTGAGGTATCGATATTTTATGTGTGGCTTGACAGTTCTAAGCTGAACATTTGCGGTGCTTGATATCGTGCTCACATTGAAAGCACACAGCTCTTGCTCTGCTTAGGATTGCAACCAGAACATTACAAAGAGGAAAATTTAAAGGAGATTTTTTTTCCCAGAAATTTAATTTTCTTCTATTATTTTTTACAGCGGTGCTACTATCATCAAAAAGAGGTATTTTGTAACAAGTTGTTTTATACATCACAACACAAAATCTGGGATGTTTTGAAATCAATGGAAAGACGCCTCTGACTCTTTTAGCTCCACCCTGAATTGAAAGAAATTAAGAGTAATGTTTTTATTTTAATATGAAACTGACTGATTGTCACACAAAGTTCAAACTAAGTACAAGGTGAGTTGCATTAACAATAGTGCCATGTATGAGGCAGAATTTCACCTGGTTTAAATCGGCATAGGGGTCAGAGTATGTGTATTCTGTTAATCATGTGACCCTCTGGTTTACACATGTAAAACATATGAAGCAGTTTAGCTTACAGACTGAGCTCCATTTCCCAAATCTGATTGTCAAAGATTAAAGCATTGGCCCTTCCATCTTAGCCCACATCCCCTAGTTCTCCCCGAGACTCTCCTGTAGATCTGGTTTTCATTTGCACCACTGCTGTTATACTTGTGATAGCTCATATGTAGCAAACACAGCCATCATTGTCCAAAAACTCACTCAACCTTCATCATTTACAACTTAAAAAAATAAAGAACCCCCATTCCCCTCCTCCAGATGGTGAGTGTTGAGGGTTCTCCAAATTCCCAGATCACACACCCACAATCATTGCATAACTTTCTAGATTTTCTTTAAAAGAAGCATTTATCTGAGTGCCAGGTGCTTTTTTGAATTCCACTAAGCATGTTACAAAACAAAGTAAAAACTGCAAGACTTTTGAAAATATCTGTTCACAATGAACCAGCACTAGCTTCTTTGTTAGATCTCAGGTGTTTTATGATATGTTTTTGTGCCAACGGATTTTTTTTTTTTTATATATATTATTCTTGTTGGTAGTCTGAACACTTTCAAATGTTTGTCAATTGATGGTCTCTACATAATGGGTACAATCCATATCTGGGTCAGACCTTCCAGTTCAGGTACAATAGCTGAGCTCCCTGGAGCTGTGATTTTTTTCATGTAATAGATTTGTAAAGAAATGAAATGATGCCAAGTAGACTTAAATTTTTTTCCTTAACTTTTGCAAACAGTTGTACTTCTGCTTGGATCTTCTGCAGACAAAATTATATAAAGTTATTTCAAGTTTTAGAGAACATATTGAGAGAGGCCTGTGAGACACAAAACTAGTAACAGATTTTCTTTCT